GTTGGTATCGCTATCAGCTGACATCCGGCTTAACGAAACAAGAACGATGTCTCGGCAGTCGCTGTCAGTTCTATGTCGCTCTTTTCCTCAACCGTGCCTCTCGCAGAATGCGCTTCCCATCCACTAGGTCGTGGAACGCATCCGTGATCTTCTTCACCTGGCAGCTTTCGACACTACTGAGCTATAACATCGATCCCGGTCAAGCACGATAATGGTCAAGAAGGTGCTGGTGGCAGCAGCGAAATTGCATTTGTGGCAAAAGCCTGTTCTGCAAGAACCGTACCCATCGCCACTACTTGTCTTCACTTTTCCTACCATCACTACGAGTCAAGTCTTGCCTTCTCTTTTCTTGCCATTTGCACTGCCCTGACTAAGTCGCGAGTGCTGCAAGTTCTGCACTGCAATTCCAACTTCAGGGCTCCGGGCCGCCAGCTTGGTGCCACTCTTGGGATCCTGACACCCGCTAAAGACCTAAAAGGTTATGGCAGCGGCGTCCTGGAGATGTTGTTTTACCTTTGCTTCCTTTCAGCACTGCGCCAAAGTGACTACCAGCTGTAGTTCCTGCACGAAAACTTGCACCGCCATTCAATCGTCATTGCTATCTCGTTCCTGTCCTCATTTCTGAGCTCAGGTGCCAAGTGTCAGGCAAACGAAACACTCAGGTTGTACATAGATATGCGGTGCACATGAGGAGCTAAGGCTTCAGCAGGGGAAAATGGAACAGATCCAACTACGGCTCCGCAAGCCGCAAACAACAACAGACCCAAAGTCCTCACCTCACAGAACCCCACAACCCGTTGACAAAAACCCGCACCACCTGCTTGACCGTCCCTACAACCTACATCCCAAAACAGCATGCTAAAGGCGGAGCCGGAGTCCTGGAAAGAGGCGACGGTGCCATAAGCACCCGAGCCCACCTCCCAAATCTGGAGGTAAGTAAGCTATGATGTAAGCCTTACGGCTCATAGCTTTTTAGGCACAGGGCTTGGTGTCCACGATTTGGTCGGGTTCATCTGCCGGTTGACGGTCCTATTCGGGACTACGGCTTCGCAACGGCAGGGGTTATGCGCCGTGCCATCCGAGCACGACAGAAAAAATTGGAGTGGTTTGTGATTCACGATGCTTCGAAGGTGTAAGATCCAGGGTTTGTGTTGGCTTGGGGTTACGGGTACTGGGTGTTAGGTTAGGCATCGGATGTGGGGTACCTCAAGGGCTTGTAGTGTTCGAGACCGGGCTTGAGGGTTTTCGGGATTCGGGCTTCTACGTAGGACATACTGTAAGGTTTACAAGGAGCGGGGCTTCCATGGCTTGAAGCTTCAATGCCTGAGTGGACGTGGGATTCAGGGTTCGTGCGCCACGTTTACCGTTTTTTCGGGGTTAAAAGAGCTTGGGATTCAGAGTTAGTGAATCACGTTTACGGCTTTGGGCTGTCACGGTTTGAAAGGACGTAGGGTTCAAGGTTAGTGAACCCGAATGTCTCAGTCATTCAGGTAGTCATTCTGGCAAAACAGAGGCAGCAGCAAGGGCGAGAGTAGTAGCTAGTGGTGGTAGGAACAGCATCCCGAGAAATTGTGATTGGGTTCTGGACCTCAGGCACGATAGAAGAACCTGACTACTGCTTGAGGCTCCAGCATTAGCCTTTGAGCCGTTGAGGCATCAGAAAAGCCCTGAAAACAATTTCCAAAATGATGTTAAAAATAGCGGCACGGTCCCTGAACCCAAGCTGATCAAACTTCACATGCAAGACATGTCGGGCTCTGGTGGAAGGTGAAGACATCAAGGCCCCATGCGGCCTTCTTGATGAGTTCAAGATGTGCCGGCACCTTAAACTTCACCTGCACAGCTGGTTGGGACATCGCCAACCTACCCATAGGCCATACCCTTCGAACCCGAAGCCTAGCTTAGCCCAAAACCAACAACAACAGCAGCATCGTCCTGGCCAACTCGTCGGCAAGTCGCTTCCGGCTGACGTTTGCAATGCGGTCCCGGTTTCCAAGCGCGCAGGAGCAAGGGCAAAAGGAGACACTATGGATCAGTAGCTTCGGGCCAGCTTGCCTAGGTAGCTGCTGCAATACGACTACGACAACTGCGATCACCGGTCATTTCCAAAAGCACTGCCACTTGACACCAATAAGACAATGAACATCGCGTGGACGCAACAACCGAGAGGTGACCAACACAGAGGATAAGAACCTCCGGACGTAATACCGATGCGGCTAACCGGCTAATGGCGATGATGAAGATGAGGACGAAGAGAATGTGATGATGCTGCACACGGAGGCAGCAGCGATGAGTGCTGATTGGGATGAGATTCTATACGATGCTGATGCTGAACACGGTGATGATGTTGTTGATGATGATGGCGGCAGCGCAGAGACAAACAGTGATGACCAACCAACAGTTGTATTAGTGTTGCCGCTTCGCCTCCTCTGCTCTTGCTAACATAACCACCATTACTGTTGAACATGAATGCGGCCTTGCCATCGATGACGACCTCTTTCCAGGCCGTGGCCGGCATCGCCGAACGCCCTGTCCTGCCACGAAGAAACATACGGTTTCTGCGCAAGGTTTCGGCTTCACCGCTTCTTCTGCCGTCTGCACATGACACTGGGGAATGTGGATGCTGATGAAAAACTGCATGCGAAGACACTACTTGCTGGCCTTTACTGCAGCTGCTTGCGAACCATAATCACAAACGAGCTACCCTGGAACCTAACACTTGAGGCTGTCAACGTACATGCTCATAGTCTTTGTATCTATCGGTTCACGAACTGTGAATTGCTCTCGTTTGCAGGAAAGAAAGGGCGGCACGCAGGAAAGACAGGACTGAGGGCTGCGGTCATTTCTTGACAGCTTGCCACTACTACGCATCCCCGGAAAAAGTTCTACAGCTCCGCAGACTTGCAACACAGCCACGACTAATTCGTGTACTTCTGCCCTGGGAACAACTATCATGTAGGAGCCTGCAAAACTTCAATAAAATGTGAAAGTATGTTTATCATCGGGAACTCTAAGGAACAATATTATCAGTACTAAGTACTAACTGTTCCGACCAACTATCGCCTTGTAGTGCCCAAAGCCCTTATAGAGGCCCATAAGACTCGCTTCTGACAATATAAAGGCCCCCTAAACCCTGAACCCTCAACCCCAAACCCTCAACCCTCTCAACCCTAAAACCCCCGAATGCTAACCGCTCAGCTCAACCCCAAACCCTGTAACCCTCCCGGCCTTGTTGCGCTTCCGTGGTCCGGCCGCGGCTCGTTACCTGAAGGCGGGTGGAAACAGTAGGTTTAGAGTTTAGGCTTTAAGAGTTTAAGGGTTCAGGGTTTAAGGGGTTCAGAACTTTTTAGGAGGTGTGGAGGTGTAAGAATGGATAGGAAGCATTCTATCCTCTCAGGGTTTCATGTAAGCGTTTATGGGGTCTCTTATAGATTGTTTCAAGCTTTGCAGGGTATCAACCGGTGTTTACTGCGAGTTTCGGAGGCATAGGCAGTCTAATGTAGACTCCAAAATAGTTTTTTTCGTCCTTGTTCTTAGGATCCCCAGGTCAGGAACCCTTTTGGCCTTTAACAAACCCCGACAAAAGACTACGACAGGAAGCCAAACTTCGGGTGCAGAGCTTCAGGCTTTGGGGCTTGGGGCTTCGGGATTTGGGGGTGTGGGCCAATGGGGTCTTGCCGTCAGGGCCGCTTAGGGCGAGACTCTGTCTGGCACTATTAGGACGTCTCGTACTACGGGCTCCTTTTTCTTGAAATTTTAATGATAGTTTGCAATTGTTTGCATGGTGGAGCGACGGGCTCAAAAGCCTCAACTCGATTCGATGTTTGGCCAGATGTAAGGCTCTGCAACCTCGTGATCTTCTTTGGGGAGTGTGGGGGGCACCGTCGCAGAAGCTTACCTGTGCTTCCGCCTGTGTAAGGGCCTGATAGTGTTTCCAGGGAGACATTCCTCCTTCAACCGTATAGCTTAGATTGGCTTAGATTGTAGGGAGAAAGGCCTAACGCCACTTCAGGATTCTGACTGAAGTTCTCCCGGCTCGGCCAAGGCAGCGTGTTTCGGTGTTACGCTTCATTCAAAAATTGGGGCTTTTGGGCTTGGGGTTCAGCGTGGTCTGGGAGGGTATGTCTCCGGCTCCTAGGGTTTTGTGCTCCTTGTTTGTCTGAACTCTAGTCAAGTCAAAACTCGGGTGCGCCTCCGGTAGAAGTGGACCGCTCCACCAGGAAAATTCCTGCTATTGCTGGATTTGAGCCAATGCCGGCAGTGCAGGGTCGGCTTTCCAGCACCTCAGAATTTCCCTCAAAAAGCTCTGAAAAGAATCCCAAAGAATAAATCCGCGGTTTCCAACTCAGCTTCTGAAAGCCCTGGAACAGGCCTGTAAGAAAATCCTCACTCCCTTAAATGCACGTCCGAAGAGATCCCAAGAACGTGAGCACTGATCCCCGAACCCTAAACCCTAAACCTTAAATCCTACACGAGCTCGGTTTCGCGATCATGGGTCATGCTTGGCTCGACTTCAATTCAAGTTGGAACACCTCCTTCTTCAATTTAGGCCCACGAGGGCTTCTACGGTTGAGTTCCAGGACATGCCAAGACCCTGAAGGCACAGACGCGTCTGATGGCCCCATGGCCCTTTGGGACTCGAAGCGTCATGAACTAAACACCCAAAAACCCTGGACCGCATCCAAATCTACGAAGCCCTAAACCCTAACTTCCTCCCAAACTCCACGTAAACAAACTGTAGCAGAACCGTAAACCCGAACACCCCGAGTCCAACACGGCGCTACGCCCCAAGCCTTTCCACGCTGAATGCAAGGCCATGAAAGGCCCCACGACCAAAGACCCGCGTTCTTGAAACCCGAGGCCTCGTGATGCCTAAAACCCAAGGCCCCCTAAACCGCAGAAAACCCGATAAAGCCCTTACAGAAACACAGATCCTTCAGAAGCCCCTTAAGATTCGAGAGGGGGGGTCGTCTCAAGTCATTTCTCTCTCTTTTGGCCCCTCAGAACTCTTCCAGGCGCTCTTCCGCATCGGTGAGGAGCCCCGAGGCTTCCTCCTCCGGCTCCGTGGAAGGCCTAGGAACGCGTTTGCTTTCGGATGTCACGGGGCTTTACAAGGGTCTTAGGGGGCTTTGTATCCGGCTTCTATGAAACTTGTTTGTCGGGCTTTGGGGCTGCAGAGTCCAGGGTTCTTTAGGGCTTAAGCATTCAGCCTTTAGAGTGCAGGGCGGAGTTCAGTCCCAACCACAAAAATGCCATGCGTTTCGATCACCCGCGTGCCTTGTCCCGAACCGTCTCGGGCATGAAAGCAAGTCACCAACTGTCGACACGATAATGACGCTCGAAATCCCTCAAGAAACCCACCCAACATTCGTTAGCATCTGCAAAGCCCAGTGGCGCCGTTTCCAGAAGCTCGACCGTGGCCAATGCACGGAGGCGTTGCGCTGCCTCCTCCGAGTCTGCCGGTGGGTTTCTTGCAGTTTAGGACGGCAGGCTTTACAGGTTCGCATGGCTTGGAGATGTCTGAGCAAGACTACGCTTGAAACGACATACAGTGTAATGCATTGCACCATCCAAGGAACCAAAGCCAGGTTGCTTAGGTCTCAGTTTCAGGGGCCTTGGTGCTGTGCTCGTCGTTCTGCCTGCCCCAACTTCTCAAGATATCCGTTAAGGAGCACGATGAGTCCTTGAGCCAAGCTTCCGAGTCACCCAGCAGGCGGCCGTTGACCTGCAAAACAAACCAAAAACCAGAGGACTAATCAAGGTAACCATGCATCCGGATAGGAGTGTAATCTGGATTTCGGGGAATCAACCCAACGGCACCCGCACGGGCACGGCATCATTCTTCTTGCCCGCCGGGAAGAAGGCCAGGAAGGGGTACCCCTTCATTTGCTTCAAGACCGGGTGATCCACCTGAGACACAGCGAACATCCCGAAGTTGGGGCTTCAGGTTTCTGATGACAACAGACAAGAACGTGGCGAGAGTCTACACTGCGTCCGGGCCGCATCATTTTGTGTGTCGTCGATCTTGAGAATCGACAGCTGTCTCGCATAGCGGAAGTGACGTGCCAATTCGTCCACTCGCGGCGACATGCGCTTGGAAAAGCCTCGGCATCAGGCAGCTTGACCTGAAACAATGATCTAGCGTTTTTTAAAGTCTTGTGGAAACTCCGCATTATCTGACTACAACTACCTACGACCGACCACACCTCGATCCATCTCTCTTTCTATCCATCTGCTCATCACTATAACTCTGGGATATGACCTTCTGTTAGACGCATACATACATACGTGCGTACATAGGTACATACGTGCATACCTTCGTCCATCCATCCATCCATCCATCCATCCATCCATCCATCCATCCATCCCGGCATGCGTGCGCGCGTGTTTGCATGCATATTCAACAGCAACAGAGACCGAGAGACAGACTGACAAAGAGAGAAAGACACAGGGAGCGAAACACACGCAGAAACACACCAAGTTGTGACGTGATATGATTCCGAGAACGACGACTTATCATGACGAGAACGACGACGACATGGATGCCGATGCCGACGCCGACAACGACCGCCGCCAACAACACAGCCACTGAGGCCTCCTGCCACCACCACCACCACCACCACCACCGACCACCACCACCGACCACCACCACCACCACCACCACCACCACCACCACCACCACCACCACCACCACCACCGACCACCAGCACCAGCACCACCACCACGAACACCTCTGCGACGATGACGACTACCACAGCGAGTGCTACGGCTAGCATGACTAATGCCTCTGTTACTGACAAGAAGCTTAAGAGCAACGCGAACGATGGCGAGAAGCCGGCTTGCTGTAGACGTGCCCGGCTTCGCAGGACCGGCTCCGACCACACCATCCACCAGCAACGCCAAAACCCAAAACTCAAATGCCAAAAACCCTCAACACTTCAACCATAAAGCCCAAACGCTGAAGCCTGAAGACAACGGAAAATCATAATAAGAGCCCGACGCACAGCCTGCCTGAGGTCGAGAGAGAGATTCGGAGTGAAGGCTTTTTGGTATCGGGTATCGGATATGGTTTAGAGTATTCGGTATAGGGTTTAAGGACGAGCGACCAGAAGGGTTTGGAGTTTGAAGTTTTGAAGTTTTGGGTATATAGAGTCTGGTGTTTAGGGCTCAGAGTACCCGAAACCCTGCCTGCCTAAACCCTAAACCCTAAGCCTAGGGTTTAGGGCTTAGGATTCTGGCACCATCTCCTCGCAGCTTCTGTGCGGATAGCCTGTTGATAGCGCAATGAGCCATAGTTAGAATAGGCTTTCCGGGCTCCTTAGTAGTCTAGTAGTACTGCATATTACTATCATATGGGTGGTTGTCAAAAT